ATAAAAATCGCGGTTTGCATGCCAAAAAGCTGCAATGAAGAGGTGAGTAGGAAAAAACCAGCTGTAAGTTAATACCGTGGAAAAAGAGAGTTAAGCTTTCTTTCAGGATATCCCAATAGTGCTAGATTCTACCAAACTAGGAGGGCTGGCTCCCATCACATTCACTTCATCCTCTTGCGTGCCCACTGATGTGAAACCCACAACTGCTTTTTGGATCTTCATGTAATTTTTTGTCGTTATCCTCATTTTCAGCCCTCCTCTGCTCCAAATCTTATACCTTCAGGGGTTTCATGGCATTCTTCGTTTCTTGGGCTGCTCTAGCCACTGCTATTGATTTCATCACAGATGTGTATGATATGAATGTGGATAGAGAATCTAACTGTGAGGATTTTCGTAACAACTGAAAAGGCCCTTAGCAAAAATAGTGTTTAGACACACGCATGATTTTTGTCTTTTCTGTCTACAGCAACGGAGCGGCCATACTTGAGACAAGTCCTCACAAAGAAGGAACTCTTAAGTCCTTAGCATCAATTCGATTCATTTCAATGACTTGGGTAGTTGCTGGGCATACAATTGGACAGAATGCGATAGCTGGTACCGTTTTGCACATTCTTTTTCCTAATCTTTTCAAATATTTCTGTTCAGCCGATTCATTGGGTCCTGTGCTTACTCTGTGGAATCCTCTATTGTCTACAACTATTACCAATGCTTTCTTCTCTGTTGATACTTTCTTCCTACTGTCTGGGGTTCTTGTATCGTATCTCTTCTTCAAAATGAGGCCATCTCGAAGGATGCTGAAAAACCCGTTTACATGGATTATGTTTTATGTGCATCGATATATCAGGTAAGACGTAATTTAGGTCGAATATAATTTGGTCATCTCGTGCGAAATAATAAAAGTGATGAGTGATAGAAATATTGAAGCTGCAAAGAATTTACTGGATTTTTGCTGCAAAGAAAAATACAATTTATTGCCCTCTCGCAAAAGATTTTACTGTTAAATATGAAATCGACATGGTGCAGGTGTATAAAAGCATGTAGCTATTATAATTTTTTATCATCTAGATTCAAGGTGTACCATCTAAACTGTAAAATACTGCTGATTTTTTCAAGATATCAAAGGTCTTTTTGTGTAAAGTTTGCAGCTTGGAGGACCACATAAGTTCTATTGTTGATAGCTTGTTCTCTAGCTATGAGGTTGTTTTAGTTTTCCACAAAGAC